GTATACGTATACGTATAAATATGTTTCAATTCCTTTAACTATCCTCACTTTTATCTGAACACACTTTCCAGACCCACGTATTGATCCCAGTGCTGCAGACGGTACACTCAACTATAGTACAGCCAGTAGTCAATACTTGGCAAACAAGTGTAGGAGGACCAAATGAAATGTCTCAAGCTCTGGTTGACTTGCTGGGCGCTGCATATACCGTGTGTTACCATAGCAACGAGGCCTTGTTTTTATGCAGCTGCGTTAGTAGCGAGAGATACACCGCATTCAGGCATGGGCTTCAACTGGCTATGGTGGATCTGGCTCGGGCGTTGCTGACTGGGACTGTGGGTAGTGCCGTCGAGGTATGTCACCAAGCTTGATTAGGTGTCAACAGTTTATAGAGTTTTGTAGGTGGAAGATGTAGGCGATGGATAGATTGGTGTGTAAATAAGATTCCAGCAGTCTGTAGATTTTTAGAGATAACATATTTAGACAGTTCTAAGATTTTGATAGAAAATAGATGTAGACAGTTGTTAGATTGGGATAGTGAAAAGATGTCAGCAGTATGTAGTTTTTTGTAGATGAAATATGTAGAAAGTTTATAGATTTTTAGAGATAAAAGATGAAAGTTTATAGATTTGTGTGAATAAAAGATGTCAGTAGTTTGTAGATTTTGTGGAGATAACCATATAGACAGTTTATAAATTTGTGTATATAGGAGATGTAAAGCTTTATAAAATTTTGTAGATAGAAGATGTCAATAGTTTGTAGATAATTGTAGATAATCTACCTAAACAGATTTTCTTTACAGGTTTTTATAGTTTTAAAAAACTTTACAAATTTTATTGTGAAAAGATGCTACTCTTTAAAGATTTTTACAGTTTAAAAATGCAACTCATTAGAGATTTCTACAGTTAAAAGGTGCAGACTGTTAGGCCAGCGGTCCGATCTCCATTCCCACCTTAAAGGATAGTCATAAAAACTTAATCTATTCCGCAGTAATTCTAAGCGTATCCACTCATTACCACGACCAACTACTTCTGCCATAAGCTACACTTCTTTCTTTCAACTAACCTTTTCATCTGTGTTGAAATGGAGTGCGCGTTAGCCACGGCGTCTCTCTGCCTCGTGTCTATTAGTTTTACTATTTAGGGGTTTAGGGTCTAGGTGTAGTTTGGTTTCTAGTCTATTCCTTGTTTTAGAGTTTTAGGGGTTTGGGGTCTAGTTTCACATACACACACACTCCACTCACACTGTCAATCAAACACAGTGGGAAACCATCAACACACACACAAAGCATTAAATCACCCACTCACCCACTCACACTGACACTCGACACTCCCCAGCCAACGCAACCGAATGGCAAACCTTCGAAGAAGTCGAAGAAGAAACACAACAACAACGACAACAACACCAACACATCAACAGACCAGCGCATTGCCACGAGCGCCCTGCGACTGACCGTTGTTGCGTTTCTGGTGCAGAACGTTCGGTTTGCGGAGAGCCTTGCCATCAGCTTGGCCTCCGATGGCCGTGGCACGCGCGATGGTACATCGTCTGGTGGGAATGGGCAAACGCGTGGAAATGGGAATGGGAATGAGAAAGGGTATGAGAATAAGAATGGTGATGTTGAGGCGGCTGTTGGTGTTTCGGCGAAAGGACTGACTGTGCACTGCGTAGAGACTACGGCGCTGGTGGTGGACTATATTATGAGCCAGTTTGCAGGTACGGGGCTGTGTGGAGAGTGTATGTAGTATTACAATGGGGCGGACTGGGAAGTCAGCTCAACCTTATAGTAGCCAGTTCGGTACATAGGAATCGGTGTGCGATGTACTTAGCAACCGGTATGATACATAGTAATCAGTACGTTGCACAGCACTGCTACGTAACACCTCACGTGCTAGTTACATAACATACTATTTGCTACGTACCATACTCATGGCTGTGCATGTCCGTCTTCAGTCTATATCGCATAAGTCATCCCGTTTGTGTGACTAAGGTCTCCACCTTGTGCCACTGTATCATAGTTCCATGTGCAGGTGCACTCGGTGGTGCGCATATGAAGGGGACTGACAACCGAGACTTCATCGAGCATGCGGATGCCTGGCTTCATGGCAAAACCCTATACCCAAAATCCCAGAACCCTAAAAATTGATATTTCCGTTTCACTAAATTCAAAATAAATATTCCTATTCCCAACCGTCTCCCGATCCGACTATCAGGTACACTCGGAGAAGTTCGTATGACGGGGACTGAAAACCGAGACATCACGGCGCATGCGTTGGCTCTGTGGTCTCTGATGCGCAAGAAGGTGGCGATGTTGGCAAAGTACTGGACACAGGCCAGTCTGAAGCTGTATGCGGAGTATATGGTACGCACCCTGCCCGATCTCACGGCCCACGAACGTACTAAAAATAGCACAGACAATGTTCTATTTATAACACAGGCGCGGTGGGGCGTGGTGAGTAAGGCGGCGATGGCCGACGCGGCGGTTATGGAGATACCGGGGCTGGTGACTGAGATAGTGAGGTGCATTGTTGCCCAGTTGCAGGGCATATACACAGAAATAGGGGAAAAGAATAAGAATAGCGAAGCTTTATTTGGGGCTATTGGACTGCTACGGAGTGCCTCAGCAGCGGAGGCCAAGGACCCGGTGAAGGACGAGGGGGGGGTGGACTGGAAAGCTGTGCAGAAGCAGAAGAC